AAAAAAATGGAATCATATTAAAGAGTTGTATACCATTGATTAAAAGTTTAGACCAAATTCGATGTATTGAATAAAACAAGCATTTCTGTGGGTTTATTCACCAGAGCCTCGAGGTGAAGTCTGGTCTCCGACTGCATTTTAATAATGTATTGACTTCCGTCTACTTACCCTGGCGTTTTTCTCAGGAAGTGGTACGTATGGATTTGGTAAATCTAATTCTAACTAGAGATAGAATTATGAACCACTTCATTAGCTTTAGATTCAAAATGATACCAAAAATTCAGCTTTGCCCTCACCTGAAATGGTAATATCAAAGAGGGACATCCTTCTCTCTGTTGTCCTTCTTGACGCTCCTAACATCTCGCTTATTTGGGGAACGGTGAAGCCACTATCAATGAGATAGGACAGTTGTCCTTCCTTTATGTCGAAGGAAGGTCGTCCCAGACGACCGCTGTAAATTTTGGTTCCTTTGCAATCATTTGACCGAACATCCATTTCGCGCTCTACATCCTTTAAATAGTCTACGGCCGATCCAAGGCCAACGAGTTCTGCGTTGTTTACGATTGACCTGTTTAAGTACTCTAAACGGACAACCAGACTATTGCAATCGTGAGAACCTTGTAAATTATCTAACCTTTGTATGGTATCCTGTAAAACGGACAAAATCGTACTTTCTCGGCCAGCCATAATGATTGCCTGAAAAGTACAATTGCTCGGAGAGCAACAAATTTGGCGCCCTTTTCACGAAAACGACCGAGAGAGGCCTGAAACTCATTTTCGTACCCATACCAAACGGACGCTGAGTTTGAATGTCGAAAGTGAATGTCGTAACTTTGAACGTCGAGAGTGAATGTCGAAAGTGAATGTCGAAACTTTGAACGTCGAGAGTGAATGTCAGAATTGATATTTCAACCGGCGAATTGTCGAATTGAAAGTTGGAATTGACGAATCGAATGTCTGAAATGACGAAGTGAATGTTTGATTGACAAATTGAATCTTTGAATTGCCGAATGGGACGTTTGAATTGCCAAATTGAGTGTTTGAAGTGACGAATTGAATGTTTGAAGTGACGAATTGAATGTTTGAAGTGACGAATTGAATGTTTGAATTGACGAATTGAATGTATGAAGTGACGAATTGAATGTTTGAAGTGACGAACTGAATGTTCGAACAACAAGTTTAAATTTTGGTGGGGTTGGATACCCATAATTTACTGATACTAGCATTTAGTTTCAGGTAAGATGTTTCTGGTGGGGTAGAATTGTGCTGCAAAATTTAGCTTGTTTACTGCAACATGTCATTTTATCGGGGAAGGCCTAATTAATAGGGACAAGCAAATCCCTCATTGTTCTGGAAATATACCCTTTAAACACAAGATATTATTCATAGAGAACTTCCAAAGGCAAAAAACGGATATTAACATGGCATTTGACACAGAAAGTAAATACGATTTGAAGATCTTTTCGACTTTAGCCAAAAGAGCAACCTCAAGGTAAAAACACCACTATCGATCAAATATACTTTATGCAAATGTGTTGCACAGATTTTACAAGCAACCCTTCCAAAACCAACCCTTCCAAAACCAACCCCTCCAAAACAAACGTTCCAATGATAACTCTGTGTTAGGCGTTTTTCTGACTGCGTGTGCATTGCTAAAGCGATACACAGAAAGTTGAAAGCAAGCTTTAACTTTTAAATGGTGAAAATATTTCCTGCCTATTCTTGTGACCACAACAGATCATAGCGATGAGATCCAGACAAAGGAAATGAATTATGTCACTGAATAGCTCAGCTCACAATTCTTTGTTGATATCGTCTTAGCGTGCGTCAATGTGGGGTTGATTCGATTGCAACGCTTTGCGACACCCTAATTTAATGACATCATTGACATGAGGGACAGTTCCCTTATGCTCTGATTTGATTAGCGCGAGATACATACCCTAATGCTGCAATCTGCCCGGTGCGAGATACATAGCTTAATGTGGCGATCCGATTGGCGCGAAATACATACCCAAATACAGCGATCTGATTGGTGCAAGCAACATATCACTCGATACACTAATATAAAGTTATCTTTAATCCATAAAGAAAAAAAAAACTAAAACATGTAGGACTGATTGTTAAACATGGCAGATCAATTGGCGAGGACTTTGTGAAAATTACGGCTAATTTTCTCTAGGACGTAGTCCATTAATCAAAATTGTTGAACTACAGACGATTTTCTCTTAAAACTGAACTTACTGAATTTTATGAGAAACGTTATTAAATATGAAGTTTATTTTGCAACCTTGGAGTTGACACGACGAAATGACCAATGATATTCTGCGCAGTATATCAACGAATTCAGCTGATTTGTGTTAAGACATGGATTTGAAAGCGTCAAATATAATATAGAGAATGATTACATTTTGGACATTTTAGATTGGATTTATTCATCTGTTTTATTTTTATGGGAAAGCAATCGTAATATACATGTTTTGAAATAGCTAATAAAATCTCTGAGGATTACTGAACTCGGCAAGGGCGCTACATCTTCGTTCTGAATACGATGAGCTTCTAGTACCAAAACCTGTTTTATGTTTGGTATGCCTTGCTCTTATGAAAATATATTTTATCAGCGTTTGGGACATGAAGGGTTGATAAAAAGAAAAATATCGCGTAGTTCCTCCTAAATGCAGCTCTTTTTGTCCAGAACAACAACAACAACGTCAAAAATTTTGTGAGCGTTAACAGACCCTTCATTTCAAATGTTCTTTTCTCAGTCTCTGCAGCGATTCCAAAATCTTGCAGCGACTTAAAGAAGCTCGATCCTAATGCAAAAATTGGATCACACCTGATTGATCCTGAGGGCGAAGGAGGTTTGCCGCCATTTAATGTCGTCTGTGACATGAGTGACAAGGACGGTGTTGGCGTGACCGTTATAAGTCACGACAGCGAGAGCCGGACAATGGTGGACGGATATGAAGAACAGGGATCATATTCACGTGACATACACTACGAAGGAGCAAGCATCTCTCCGCTGGTGAGCCTCATCGACATTTCCCAACACTGTGAGCAGTTCATAAAGTACGAGTGCTATGGTTCTAAATTAAGATATGCCGCCTGTTGGGTTTCACGTGATTCTGTGAAGATGACCTATTGTAGTGGTGCAACACCCGGAAGTCATAAGTGCGCATGCGGATTGAACAACACATGCGCACCACCAAGTGGCTCAGCAAATAGCCCAGTCTACTGTAACTGTGATGCGAATGACAATAAATGGCGTGAAGATAGTGGTTTCCTTACCAACAAGATTCATGTTCCAGTTAAGCAGCTGAGGTTTGGAGATACAGGTTATTACGGAGGACAATATGACGAGCAGGGCTACCATACCTTAGGAAAGTTTAAGTGTTACGGAATCACTTAATCGGTCAATCAGCGTTGTTCTTTCCGTTTGTAATACCACCATCTTGAATACGTGCATGACTTTTTTTTTTGATCGATCAATTCCGTATTTATTTATTCATTGATTTAGTTTGAAAAGATTTGATAAGGATGTTATGGCAATAGCGCAAAGTTGTTATGATAAAGACAAGGCAAACTTCCACAAAAAAAGACAAGTGACAAAATTTGTAATCATGACTTATTTTGTTGGTAATGGCGCAAAGCATGATAACTCCGAGTCTCCATTTTGAACAAATAAATAGATAAAGAAATGACTACACTTAAAGGTCATTCTTCAGTATTGCACGGCACATCCTTTGCTGCGCATAAAAAATTACGTAGTCAGGCAAATAAGCACGAGCGCATTTAGAGATCGTGTTCAAAGTTTTTTCCAGCGATGGACGAAGTAAACAGGTGTGATGGTCTTTTGCTCATGAACGAGCATGGTAACCAATATTTTTTATTGCATAAATTTGGCGCACTCATTATGCTCTTAACTGGAAAAAATAAAAATATACATATATGAGGAAAAAAAATGTGTAGGAGCGTGCAGGAACCCTTTTGCTCAATGATGTACATAATGACCACGAAAGCAACGACTCCAGAATTATTTTGAGTTGATTTCATTTGAAATTTCGTCATTTTTCCACAATGAATTATGTATTTTATAGCTCGATATGCTCGAGACTTTCTACCCATTAAGTATTTTCAAGCTACCTCAAAATTTACCGTGAATCGATAAAATGTCGCTCGTGATAAGTACCAGTACAGGTTTAAAAGGGATAACATTCGCCCATCATATTTCTAAAGCAAGCAAAGTGACTTATCTTATATAATGTAGTTTTCCAAACAGATATTGGTGGGGAGCATTCACAGGAAAGTCTAAGACTAGGTTTACACAAGAGGAGAGTTTTCCGGATTCGTAAATGTTTCCGGATTCATCAATTTTGGAGTATTCGGATTCGTAGGCGTTTACACTGAAAGGATATTCGGATTCCTGACCGTTTACACACAACGACAACTCCGGGAACATTCGAAATGGAATGGTTACCAAGCCCAGTGTTGTTTCGTCGTTCGATCGACAAAGTGAAAATGCCTCCCCCAAAAAAGGCTAGAGTAGATCCAGATGCCACTGGGGAAAATTTGAGTTGGACAGATGCCAAGCAGTCTACGTCGTCGGCGATTAAGTGTGGCTGACGTTAAACTTCCAATAAGAATTTGCGTTTCTTCAGAAATACTGCGGTGCACATGATAAGATTTATCGCCTGAACATGCAACAAGATTAGGCAACCGGAGACCGCCAGCAATGTTAGCACTAGATCCATTTTGATTTCACCGCAAACTCAAAAGATTGCAGGTGGAAATAATATCCGAATTCGAGAAAAAAAAAGCGATTACACGACAAAACTTTCCGGATTCAAAAGTAATCGGATTCAAAGTTCCCACTTAAAATTCCGGATTCAAAATCTCCGGACACACGGCCAAACAGGGAAGTTTTTATTTCGGATTCGTCCACTTTCGTGTAAACGGCAGAATGAATCCGGTACTAAAACGTTTCGGATTCATCATGAATCCGGAACAATTTCCTCTAGTGTAAACCTAGTCTGAATGAAGATCGTTCGAGAACTTATTTTACTGGGGAATCACCTTGAACAGTCAACCACTGATTCACAGTTTTATTTTTACAAATTTAGAACGATATGGTGTAAAACAAGTAAGATAGTTATATTTTATCAAAATTGTTACATCATGTCATTCATGTAGTAAAGGAAAATTAAGAAATTGATATTTAATCTTTTTATATGTTGTTAGAGTTCCAAACTGAAAAATTGTTGTATAATTTAGTAGTTGATAACAAAATGATCTTAAGCAGAGCAGTGATAAAATTGTTGTCATATGGATAGAAAACTACGATCAGTCCCTCTTTTTCGGCGAATTCCGTCGGGCGAATAAAAAAATTCGATGAAAAAAAGATTGATGTTAGCGCGTCGCGCGGAGCTGTAGGATTACCCCGTCAGATTTCTGCGCGGCGCGCCAACATTAATTTTTTAAAATTATTTTTGACACGCACGATGGACTTCGCCGAAAAAGGGGGACTGCTCTTAATCTATATGGATGGTCTTGCGCCTACTTGTTTTACAGCTATGATTTTGGGAATTAATTGATATATAAATTTCTCAGAAAGAAAGGGAAATACTAGTCTCCTGCGCAGCCGTTGTTTGGGCTCGTCACGCAACGCTCCCTCCCCCATCAACCGGCTGCTTAAACCCGAGCCACATTACTTTCCCTGGTTTTAGCCAATCACGATTTCGCCCATATAATTCTGAGTAAGTCCCGCCAAGACTAGTCGTCCAATCAAAACTCGTATTCTATCAGCGGCTCGTTGAGCAGAGAAAATGGCAACACTCAAAGAAGCTTTTGTTTCGACCGCTTCCAAATTCAAAACTCCTAGTTTAAAGGATCCCCAGAAGCTGGCATTGAGAATTTTTTTTGCAAAAAAAAAAAAATGTATTTGTAAACCTGCCTACAGGGTTTGGAAAATTTATCAGGCTCTTCCACTCGTGTGCGATCACACTAACAATCTTGCTGGGTGTTATTGTTTCTCCGCTCGTAAGTCTTATGGACTTCGCAGGTCAATTACCTGCGAAGTATTGGAGTCAGCGCGGTAAAACTTAGTTCCCAAGCAGAGATTGATCACCCTAGTATTGAGTATGGAAAATATTTGTTAGTTTTCGGCTCACCAGAAGCGTGGCTCAAGAATGATCGTTGGCGATCGATGCAAGGAAATGATGTATACCGTGCGAGGTTATGTGCTGTGGCTATCGATGAAGCACATGTTAGAAGATAGTGGTAAGTCAAGAACCAATTCCTTACTTCTCTTAACGGGCCATTTTAGCTTCGTCTTATGTTATTTAAGTTTATATATATTCCTTTTACAATTAAGTCGAGTGGTTAACAATAGGAATGTTTTCTCACTTTCTCGAGGGCATTTCCAAAGCAGATGTGATAGACGTAAGCTTAATTTTACTTCATGTTTTGCCTTCGAAATCTTGCGAATTATGTAGAGAAATATACTCGTAGTCATAACAGACGGTACTTTAATGGTGAACTGTAGTCTTGGAAATGTATGATCATATAGGTGTTATCGTGTTCACAGTCCTGTCAAAGAGCTCTTTTTCACCGACATTATTCTCTTCGTCCGTTCGCAGCAGTTTCTTTGCCCTGGGATTTTCTCTTGTATTGAAGACCTCTTCTATTTCTTTCTTGATTTCTTTCAGTTTATCCGATGCCATCTCAAACTTGATCAAAAGCTGGTAGCATTTGTCTCTGCAAACAAACAATTTGCTGTTCTCCGCGTAGCGATGCACGTCAACAGCGAGCGAGGAACGAATTAGTTCAGCAAAATCAAATGAACTTTTACCGAAAATGTAAATTTTATCCTTTGTGAGTGAAATCGAGGAACAAATGAAGCATCTTGAACTACTTTCTACCAATTTCTTCGGAGTTACATCCATGGGAAATTTTTGAGATGACTGGCAACTCCAGAAAGCGCCGATGAATTTACGCGGGGAACTTACGTCATTGAAATTTGATTGGTTTTATCGTGAAACCAAAGGCGACGTGTGATTGGTGCAAACGCGCATTATCACGTGCAGTCACCGTGAAATCTAAACAAAGGGAAAGGAATGTGGCTCGGGTTTAAGCAGCCGGTCGGTGGGAGAGAGAGCGTTGCATGACTAGCCCAAACAACGGCTACGAAGGAGACTAGGGAAATACAAGCTAGATAAGTTTTAACATTAGCCAAGCATCCGCTCAACAAATAGATTTCATGTTGCTGTGCGTCAGTTCAGCAACAAATCACAAATTGCCGATGGCACACCAGGAGCAGCCGAGAGTGTCGCTTCAATTTCACTTAAATTTCGATTCAGCTTTTGAGTGTCAGATCAGGGGGAGAATTCAATTTTGTGTGTTGATAACAGTATTTATTATAGCCTTTACGATTTCCTAGAATTTGATTGCAGGATAAACTGCCTTATTTCTCACTAATTATTCAGTAGAGTTGTATTTGGATAGTGTAATCGTCTGTAACCCTAGAGTCAGTTGCATTAGCCAATTATATTAAGCAAACTCAAGTGAATCTAGCAATAACAGACTTGATTACAACAACCATAGCAGTGGTTTACCAACCTAAGCCCAAGTATAGAAAGCTGTTTGTAGAGCTTTACAGAGTGTGTTTATCTAAGATTTTTAATGGTTAAATGTTTAAAGATTGTAATTACAGGCCCTACTTTCAGAGAGTAAATTCTGACAGAAATTCGTGTCGTCAAATTCTGTCAGTAATCATTCCCATGTTTGACAAATCGGACTCCCGCTTCGTGGGCCTCCGATTTGGTTAATAATTCGTATGATCCCGGACCGAATTGGACTTCTTACTGTTGTACAACCATTACTGATAACATCACTGTTGATCTAGAGGTAATGTAAATGTGAATAGATATGCACTGGTGAAGCTCACTGAGCATTTTTTGACTTTCGTTGCGCGAGTCACTTGAGAACAGTTGTTATATTTTTTTTTGTACCTCGTAATTGACATTGTTTGGAACTTATACTATCTAAAGTTCAGGGATGATAGCTGATTCAATTCAATTAAGAATGAATCTTTACTCTGAAATTGTTCAATGCCTGGAAAATTTAAATCAGGATCTCTGTCGAGTAGATTGTATTTAATCAGATTGTTGCAATACATTGAAGAATTAACAAATATTTAGTAATACATAGACAGGTAAAAACGAGCGATATAATATCCCGACGTTTCGGCGACTTCATGACGCCATTATCAAGGGTACAAATGAAAATAAAATTAACAAATGCGAGTTCAAGAGTTACAACTAATTT